CCCATCTATCTCACACACACATAGGGAGACGACCCACGGATGATGGAGGTGAGAGGAGACGAAGGAGAAAAGAGGGAGAAGGCAAGAATAATAGCTCGAAATAGCTGACAATAGTCTCTCTCAGCAAAAGTCCACTAATTGTCTCCTCAAGATTTCGAATCTGGATCCTGGGCACTACTAAGCCCGAAAAAGTCACTTCTTGAACTCTCTCTCCCTCTCTCTCTGGAATAAGAGGATGTAGCGGCTATGGAGGGTCAGAAGAAGAATCAGGGAGACGAAGAAGAAAACGAAGTAGAGTTCTCTCTCTCTCTCTCTCTCTCTCTCTCTCTCTCTCTCTCACACACACACACACACACACACACACACACACACATATATTTTTTTCAAGAAACATTTTTTTTTTGGGGAAAGGTCCATTTGTATAAAGTATATACATATTCATATCTATGTATTTTTGTATACTCTTGTATGGAAGCAAGCTGAGTTGATCAAGTTTGTTGTATGTCGAAATATTGTTGGGCCCGCCACTAAAATAAGAGGCCTCCATACGGGATCGTCCCTGTATGACTTCAACTCCAAGGATTTTTTGACCTTGTTGTTCTTGAGGGCTGACCATTCGCATTTATGTCAATGGTCTCGGTTCAAATGCTTTGGTTATGGGTCTGATTTCGAAGTCTCTTCAGAAAGAGAATACTGAATTTTCGCTTGGGCCCGCCACTAAAATAGGAGGCCTCCGTATGGGATTGTTCCTATACGGTCTGAACTTGGACCTTATCTTGCTCTGCCCAAATGAAGCCAGCCTCACGGAAACGGTCCTGTTGCAGTAATCTCGTAATGAGTTTTCATCGCCCTTTCTCTCCCTCTTTTTCCAGTTGTTATTATTATGATATATTTGTGACGATATATATAAATACAAAAAAAAAAAAAACTATTTTCACGATCTGCGCGCTATATAACACTTGTGGTACGAATCGTCAAACCCTCCTCGGTTCGACCCGCCTCCGTATTCTGTGCCGCCTATAGCCACTTTCTGGTGCCGTACGTGGTAGTGCATGCTGTCGCCCTCTTCATTCGAAAGCGCCTCCTCTCTGATCTGGCTTCCTTCCTCTCTTCTCCCACGCACTCTCTCTCTTCCTCTCTCTCCCTCCTTTCCTCCTTTTCCCCCCCTCCCCCCCCCCCCCTCCTCTCTCTTTCGTGATCCTGTCTAACGTGCTTCGCATTTTCGCCTCCCTTCACGGGCGAAATCTTGACTGCTGATCCATCTCGATTTTTTGGATGCGGTGAGTGGAGTTTCTTCTTCTTTGGCGTCCCGTGGGAAGGTAATGTGTTTCACCCTCCGGATTCATACTTCATCTTCCTCCCCCAAATGATCTTTCCTTCTTCATCCCCCCCTTCCCCCCTTCTCTGGAGCTCAACAGTGAGCTCTGTCCCCTCCTGAGCGTTAACTTGGGGATGTTTTGAAACCCCTGATGAGCCAATCGTTTGGCGGGGATTGGCGAAAAGGCCTTTGGGAACTCCCACTTAGTCCCTTTTGTTCCGCCGGCATTTTTAAGGGCCGCTTGACCGGAATGGGACTCCCTCCTCTTTTTCTCTCCCTCTCTCCCTCCTTTTCTCTTTCTCTCTCTCTCTTTCCCCCACCTTATACAATCTAAGGAAGTTTTTGATGGATTGCTAGATACTACTTAGCCTTTCGTTGCTATGGAAAATTTTGTGTTCTGCTATGTGCTGTGTGCTCCTTGTTTTGATAGGAGTTGTTTGCTGCTTCGACGATTTCGTCGGATTGATATGGAGGCCACGATCTTCGTTTTGGGGATCGTTGTCATCTGTTCTATCTTATTCGCTTACCCGGTTTTCATTGCATATCTGGAGAGTGAGTGTGTCAAAGCTCTTTGCGTTCAGTTATCGGAGCACTCGAACCAATCGCTGGGGACTGCTGCTTGATCGAGGTGTTTTGTAGCGTGATCATGGCGCTTATTCAGCGGCCTCGTTTGCTGGTAGCGATGATCTCCATATGCACTATGCTCCTTGCCTCGGTCGTTGTACCCTGGTTGTTGGTCGATGGGGAAGTCGGGGTCTGCGCAGCCGGTGCTTGCCGGCATGGATATGTCGGCGATCCCAAATTTTTCCTTACTCTTATCCTCATGCAGCTTTCTTTCTTATCTGCGATTGTGGTGTTGTTCTTTATAGGAGAGGCACTCCATTTGAACTGTTTCTGCCACCGATACTTTGTGCATACGGGTGGTGATCCATAGGGAGTTGCTCTTCTTCACATCTCTCTTTGAACTGTTTCTGCCTCTTCTTCTGACGTGGGACGCTTCTTGGATACGGTGTCGGATCTTCTCCCAGCTTCACCGACTACGTCAAGCATTTTTTTCGCATCGCAGATGCTGGGGTATTCCTCCTCCACGTCAGCTAATCATAGGGATGGGGGTGCTGGTGAATGGAATAGCTCTGTAGGGCCTCACAACTTTTTATGATTTTTTTATTTTTTTTTTCCCCCTCCCCCCCTCTTCCTTTCTCTCTTTCTCTGTCTCTCTTTTTCCCCTCCCTCCTCCCCCCCTCTCTCTCTACGATAGTCGTGTTGCACATTGCTTTTATACTTGGAACGACCGTGTTCTGCATGATTGTGTTTTGATGAACCATCCATTTTTGTCTAGCTCGCTGCTGTTCAGCTTTATAGGCGTCCAGCCGCTTTTGGGTTCTCCTGGGCCTGGGCTAACTGGTTGACGAGCTGCAGCTGATCCGGAGAAAAATGATTCGCTGGCATGGCTTGTTTCTGCCTCTTCGAAGTTGTCCTTGTGCTGAGGCGATATCTGTGGTGAGAGCCCTTCACCCTCCTGCTGCAGTGATTGGCTCTGTTGTATGCATTGCTGCAGCAGATCCCAAGTCTGCTGGCTGCCGTTCCAGCAGCAGGACCTGGTATTCCGGGGTGTCACGATCACGCCTGTGTGAGAGATGCACCACTGCCTGAGGGTGCTAACGCTCGGGCAGCACATCTCTCCGCATATGCTGCGGGTCCTGACACTCTGGATTGGGGAGGGTTGTTTGACATTCTACCCGTCTCAGCCCTCTGCACTCATCTGGTTATAATACGTGCTACATGCTCAGGGCCCGTTCCCTCTTTCCGGTTGTAGGGGGTGCAGATGGGGCGGGGGAGGAAAGTCAGATGAGCGCCCCTTTGGATGTACTTGACTTTCTTCCTCCGTCCTGTAGTACGTGTGCAGGGCTCCTGTACCGTGTCCTTAAAGCACCAGTACACCACATATCGACCCGCGGGTGTCAGCATGAAATCCACACCACTTCGGAGACCGCCGATTTCTTTTCCCAACGGTGGGCCTGGCCGCGCGGCGCCTGTGAGTTTTGCTTGTGGCGACAAAAACTTTCTGCAAGGCCGGGGCCGTGTACTAGCGGTTTGATACTCTGTTTCACTACTTTGCAATAACATGCCAGTTTTCCTTGAATCCCTGGGCCGGTTCGGTTTGGTTTGTCCATTACGTCTTTTGCTGCGTACTCTGTGCGAGACTAACGTCTTCACTTGAATAGAATGCCTGGTCATTATCCCTCTATCTGGACTGAAACTTGCCCCAAATACAGACGCCCGGTCCTTGTCGCTGCATCTGGATTCTGGACTGAAAGTTGCCCCAAATACAGCTGTAATGACTAGGCGTTCTATTCGGGTGAAGATGGAAGGCCTGTTTCCCAGCAGGTGCAGCTCCCCTCAAATAAATAGACAAGGCTCTGAGACTGAAAAGCGGACCTGCCATCTTCATCCGAATGGAATGCCTAGTCATTATCGCTGTATCTGGACAGAAAATTGCCCCAAATACAGCAATCATTCTATTTGGGTGCAGACGGTAGTACCCAGGTGCCTCCTCTGGCGTACTAGACTGCCACTAAAAAAAAAAAAAAAAAAAAAAAAAAAAAAAAAAAAAAAAAAAAAGGAACATGCTCCACCCTCTATGCGAGCATCTGAAGGGAGGGGGTTGAAGAATTTACAGGATTTGGTGCCTCCCCC